GTTAAAGAGCTGGGCGAGAAGGACGAAGTGGAGCTGTTGGAGATGGTTAGGTTTTTGGTGACAGATGGAGAGGGTTTAGGGAATTCTGGGGATGGTTTTCAAACGCCCAGATCTGGTCGGGATAGAGAGAACGAGGTCGGGGTGAGTCGGGCTTGCCTTAGGACCTCTTTGCCCGCGACTCCGCGCAAGTGTGACGCTGACGGAGATTTTCAGGACTGCGAAGATCCTTTGAATGTCGGTTATTGACACATTTATTGAATTTTTCGGCGATTTTGAAAATTGTCTGTGCAGTTTTGCATTAATTATTCTAATTTTTCTTATTGTATGCGTAATATTGTTTCTCGAGAAGAATCTCGGATCTGTCTCGAAATTTAATTATTCAGATATTTGTACAATTTGGATGATTTTCAAAATTGTCTGTGCAGTTATGCATTAATTATTATAACTTTTCTTATTTTGAACGAAATATTATTTCCCTCGAAGAATGCTGGATTTGTCTTGAAATTTAATCATTCAAACAACTGTAGATATAATTTTGATGATTCTAAAAAATTCTGTACTTGCCTCAACTCTTTTTTTTTTTTTTAAGTGTGAATGGAAGCACTTAATTTCTTTATAAGAGGTTACTGAAATAATTCTGTAATTTTGACAGTCTTAAAAGATTAACATGTATAACTTTGATGATTTTCAAAAATTGTCCGTGTACTTGTATCAACTGTTTCAATTTTCCACTTCTAATATAAAGAGAAGCATTTAATTTCTTTACAGAAGGCTACTAGAACAACTCCACTTTACTTCAATTCCTTCTCCCAACAATTTCACCTGGAAATTTCTCACGAAGTTCGATCGTCACTCTTCCAAGGTCGTAAAAAATTATACCCTACTTGTATTAATTATTCGCGAACCTGCAGCTCCAAGAATTCCAGATTAAGGGATTACCTGGCCCTAGCCTGCAGTAAAGTTGGTCGAAGGTGTAATGAAAAAAGTTCCAGCTTCGAAAATCCTTGCCACCTGCTACGGTTAATTTACCCAACAGCTTCGTTTATTCTCGAGAACGTCGTACAAAAGCGCGACCACTTTTCACATGCAGCGTCTCCAACGATTACAGTCACTTTATTTCTTATTCTAATACAATACAACGTATCCACGTTGAATAGAGAAAACTTCACCCTCGAATCAAGAAATTGTAGCAAACAATATCAGTTGCATTGTCATAAAATCATAATCATTCCAAATCATTCGAATTGTAATCAAACGATATCATTTGCATTGTCACGAGGTTATAATCATTTCAAATTATTTGCATTATCATAATATCATAATTAAACAATATCATTTGCATTATCATCAAATAATAATTAAACAATATCATTTGCATTATCATCAAATCATAATTAAACAATATCACTTGCATTATTGTAGGAACCGACGGAAAAAATACTGAGGGACCCTAACGGGAATCGAACCCGGGACCTCCGGCTTAGCAAGCCGAGGCTTAGCGCGCTACGCCAAACACTCCCTCTCTATTCTCCCTTCGAGGTTTCCTATTTGTGTATGGAGGCCCCGATACTACACTCGGCCATCCTAAACTGACATTCGCCCTCGAATGTCCTCAGTGCGACACAACCCAACTCAACACTTTCGGGTACACTCCCCCACACAGTGGCACTCTTAGTCGAAACTCTGTTTCTCAACTCTTTTTGGGAGACGTGCAAAGCCCTCTCATCACATGTTTTCATCTCACAGCGCCTGGCTTCGTGCAGCCGTAGATGCCTCCATCCCGGCTGAGCCCCCATTTGTAGGAACCTAGGGAAAAATATTGAGGGACCCAAACGGGAATCGAACCCGAGTCCTTCGGCTTAGCAAGCCGAGGCTCTGCGCGCTACGCCAACCACTCCCTCTATATTGTCCCTCGTCGGTTTCCTATTTGAGTATGGAGGTCTCGATACTACATTATCATAAAATCATAATCATTTGAAATCGCTCAAATGACAATCAAACAATATCACTCGCACCACCGTAAAATTAACAATCTTCTCTAAATCCCCCCAAAAAACCCGAGATAATTCACTGTTCTCGACTATAAAATGAAGTTAACCTTGTGCTCATATTTTTCGGAATACCGAACAAGTTAAATCCACTAAATTGTAAATAACACGTTACGACGCTGGAACAGGCCATTATTCCACGAGCCTGTTTTTCCAGCTAGCGGCTCGTGAATCCTTAATTAGCTCGTTACCGGCACCAATGAAATTCCCAAGGATCGCGTTGCAGCGAATCGACGCAGGAATTAAACGAACAGCAGGAGGAATCGATCGAAAATTTGGAGGCTGGTCGGATTTCGAGCAAGTCGAGCGGAACAAGCTATGAGGCGATAAAAAAAAAACCCTGCCAGAACTGGAGGACCCTCCCTCTCTCTCCTCCATGTTTCACGGTTGTTCGGCCACGTCCATCGAAATCCGTTAGTTCGGCCATCGGTAATGCGAATGAATATTCAGCTGGCCGACACACAGCTCGCCTGATAATCCCCCGTGTACAGCTGGCTTAGCAGTATTGTCCGGCTGAAACGGAGGGGAAAAAGTCGCCAAGTTGTATCTTTCATGTATATGCATTTTCCCCTCTTTTCTTCCTTTTTCTTTAAGTGAGAAGAAATTGCTGCAAATTGTGCAATACGGTAGGAAAAAGTGTCTGGTTTTCAGCTTGTTCACGATAGCGCGTGGGTGAATCTCTGTTCGCCCGTCCCTGAGAGTGGGCTCTACGCGCGCTCTGATTGGCCAGTGTTTTTCGTTAATAATTCGAAAACGAAGCTTCAAACAACATTTTGGTCCAGGAAAAAGTTGTTCAGAGTCACCCCAGGAACCCCCCATTTCCGGGTGTTACACTCTGTGGCGGCCCATGCAGCGCGCACGGCGCCACGTTGTAAACACAATCCAGACTGCGAGACGCACGCAACGGACGTGTCTTTCGTCGCTGTCGATGTCGCGGCGGGCCGATAAGGATGGCTGTCCTCGGAAAGCGGGGAGACACTTGAGATCCGTTCCGAGGGCAGCCAGGGTCCCGACCGACGACGCCAAGAGAGTCAACCGCCGAAGGTCGCACGAGCGACATCGGACATCTTGTCTGGTTTTTCCGAATAAAAGATTTCAAGCGCGAGCACGCGTACGTTTATTCTCCCGTCACCCACAACTCTATACGGGACACCCTGTATATTAGAATAAGTATGGATTACAATATTACGACGAATAACCATCGAGAGTCGAACCACACGCGTGGCGGAGGTCCCGTGTCTAGAATAACAACAACGGGTCGGTAACAATTGCCGATCAGCGCGGGTCGCGCTACCCGCGTCGCTTTCGTGCATGCGCAGAGCAACTCTTCGTAACGTCCAATTTAAAAACAGTTATACTGTCCCAGAAAGTGTCGAAACATCAGTGGGAGTCACTGTGCGCAAGAATTTCGTACACTAAAATTCTTGTACCATCAGAAAGGTGCCTAAATCCTTCGAAATCCTACATGCATTCGACCTCAAATTCAAAAAATGCAAGAATTCCCTATTCCGCAATTCTTTCACGAACCCAAGGAAGCATTTACATATCCCACAGGCACGAATGCTTCTAGAAAACGACACAGACACAAATCTTCCATTAAAATTCCCAATAACGCTCCCTAAAGTATCGAAGAAAATTTCAATTACCGAACGGACACGTCTAAATCCTCCAGAATCCTCCGACGCTCCCTATTTCCTTAAGGGCACGGATTTCCAAGCGAATCAAACACGTTCCTCGATTTTTCCCCAAAAGATAAATAAAAAACACCGATCGAGGAATTCTCAGACGTGTAAATTCACAGGAGAAGAAGGTGCGTGCGTGCGGAGGCTCGTCGAGCATAAAAGGAGGCCAGCGAGCGAGTGGCGGAGCCAGGGAGAAAGGTACTTTCCGTGCTACCTGTTGAGCTACCTGTGTGTTCACGGCAGGCCTCCTTTGTATGGTCATCAAGGCGCCGGGAAATAGCTCTTGGTGTGCTTGTGCTTTTTCAAGTCTTCTGGTGCAGCGAGAAAAGCAACCGGACCGCCCACTTGAATCCTCGCTATTTCACGCCAACCTCTCGCCGCTGCTGCTGCTACCGGCGTATCCTCCGCGGAACGTTTGCACCGTTCTTTCGCGACAAGTGCTTTAACCCTTTCGAGCGGCGCGAACTGCGCCTACAGGCGCTGTGCTCCTGTTCTTGCTTCGTAATTGGATTGTTTATTCTGCAAATGTGACGGGGAAACTGTTGAGGTGAAATGTGATTCCGATGGTTTGTGTACAGGGTGGCGCAGTTGGAGGAGGAACCTTTGTTTCCTTCTTTTTAATTTTGTCAGAGATTTTTAGAAGAATTTATGAGAATTTATAGGAACAGATTTGATAAGAATTTATTAGAACAGATGTTGAGAGTATATGAGTGTCAACGCACACATGGTTGTAGCGGGTGTGCTGTCGCTGTATGGCGTGCGTTTTGTTTCGCAGCGCGTAGTGCGGGCACGTGCGTGCAATAAGTGTAAGACAAAGCATAGAAATATATCCCTTTACATCTAGAACTTGTGTATCAGTTTGTTATTTCTTACACGCAATGTTTGCATAGCAATCCATTATTTATCAACAGATTTTAGGAGAATTTGTTGGATTATTTCTAACAACACCCTATGGAAATAATCAAGTAAGGACAAAAATGTCTCCGGGTTACTTTAAACAAAGGCACTAGGACTTCCACCAGATGCATCTGGTGTCCGCCTTCGAGTCACTCACTGCACAATGCCATACCATAATGTAAACAGTTTCTAGGTATAAGGGGACCCCAACTTTCTTTTGGGTGCCCAGAAACAGTCCTTCAGAAGATTCAATAGAGTAAAGACGTTTCCTCTGAGACCGTAAATAAATCGTATATTACAAAGTTAAAAGACTATTTCATTCCATAACCCATTTCCAATAGAATTTATAAGAATAGATTTTTTAGGAATTTATGAGAATAGATTTTTGAAGAATCTGTAAGAATAGGTTTTAGAAGAATTTGTAAGAATAGACTTCATTTCTCTGTTATTTTTTATTTTACAGTTCAGTAATGATAAAATTTGACGAATAATTTGAACGATTTCGAAAGAGCAACGTCCTGGATGACTTCGTTTTTGAGATCACTGGAATTTTTTCCTAGAGAGAGTGTACTTCAAAAGTAGAATGAAGTAGAAGAGCACATCATTAGTCAGACAAGTG